CACTGACCAGTGCACAACCAGGTGTCGAATAGTGAGTCAGACCCAGAGAGCCCGAGAGCTGCAGCCTGAGCACTGTCGCAGCAGATTCCGAGCAAACCCTGTCAGTGATAGCACGGCCGGGACAACTAAACAAACCCACCAACTCCCTCCCGAACGAGCCAGCACAGGTGTCACCAAAGCAGCTAACACAGGAGTCAGGGAGAGGGTCAGCAAGTGTACGGGAGCGAGCGACAGAGGGGGAGTAATGGGTCCCGGACCCCTCCTCGCCTCTGCCCCCAGCATGATGTACTATGGAATGAAATACTCCCTTGGTCAGTTTGGGTCAGATGCCTGAACTGTGTGTCCCTGCACTGCCTGTAGCGAGACAGCGAGAGCTGGGAACGCAGCTGCAGGGTCAGAAGGGGAGAAAGACCTTGAATTCAGTGCAGGCATTGCCCAGTGCCAGCTAAGAACTTATCAGTACTGCTCTCTGCATCCAGGAACAGCTTCCTAGCAGCCACGGGAAAGGGAGTTAACTCTTTCCTGACTAAACCCAGCACAGTTACCTTTTGCACCGTTGGCCGATAATGACAGGAGAGCAATTTCTGGCCCATGTGCGTGAGCAAGAGTGGGCGGAGGCTGGGCTGCAAGTGCTGTAGAGAGGTACTTAGGAGCTTATACAAAACTGTTTACACAGCATTTAAGTTAATGTTTTATTAAGGCTTTACAAGACAGCTGTTCTTATGAGCTGGCTTTTAATCTACCTTTCTCACCAGTGGTGGTGAAAGAACAGCTTTCCACCTCCTGATTTACAGAACAGCTACAACGTGCCCTCTGCAGTGATTTCATAGCCGGGTGTCTGTGCCACGATGATAGGCTGGCATATTTCGTACCAAAGGGGCGCAGTAAGGTTGCAAACTGCCACGGAAGGGAAACACCACCTTTCTTCTGCGGGAGAAATGAGGTTTGTGACATTTCAGAGTCATATGAGTTGATGCTGAAGAGCAGAGCTGCAGCAAAACCAGCCAGGAACTGGAGGGGATGTAAGCTGCCCAATAGCCCAGGCAGAAAAACCTCCAGTTGCTGGGAAGGGTTATTTGTGCGAGCTGGGTGCTGCGCTGCACCTGGCAACCTGCTCTCCAGCAGCCATGACCTGGTTTGTTTTAAATATGTGCTTGGCCTGACACGGTAGTGCTGCACTGTCCTCTGTGTTAACTAAAATCCAGTGCTGGGATGACCGATTTCCCTCTTTAATGTTGTTCCTGACACACTTGCCCTGCTGAGCAGAAAGCGGCGGCCTGGGAAAAGAGGGAAGTCTCCCTCTTGGCAGCTCTGCGCTGTTCTGCTTCAATCCTTGGGGAGAGGAATCCCCACCGCTGTGTGTCTGCTGAGATTCCTGGCCTCTTCCACTTGCGGAGGAGTGCAGTAATCCTCCAGGAAGACGGTTGCCAGATTGCTTAGCCTTCTGCTTGCGGAGAGGGAGAAGCGAAGCATGCACTCCACCACGGGCAGAGCCGTGGTCTGCTGGCGCGACTGCGTCGTTGTCAGGTACATCAGCGTCGTGACTGCCGACATGACCGTCTCCTCGTTGGAGCTGGAGAGGCAGTTGATGATGGGCTCCACGCCGCTGGCCTCCAAGATGTAGTCTTTGTTAGTTTTATCCAGGCACAGGTTACAAAGACCACCTGAAACAGCAGAAAGCGTTAAACATGTGCAGGACAAACTCTTCACACCCTCATCTTGTTCACACCAACATTCAAATTCACTGCTGATCCCTTTTTTTTTTAACACAGAAATAAGCATCCTGATTTTCTGTGGGATTCGGATGGAAAATCCTGAACGGCTTCCTGCGTGATATTTTCTTAATCCTTTCCAGGGATTTCCACCAGAACATTCCTCCTCCTGAATGTCATTAGAGGGCACTGTACTGCTGGACATAACCTCTTCCACAAAACGAAGAATTCCAGTATCGCTTGACCCTAACGGGCACTACAAGCCAGCAGTTTCTGGTAGGTGTTTTAGAAAAACAGAATAGAGGACAGTACTAGCCAAGAGACAGAGAATGTTTGAACTTGCAACTTCAAGATGCAGCCATGCCCTGCTCTGCCACTTACCTTAAAAATCAAATCTATTTATTATCTCATGGAATCGCAGTTAGGATCTGGCCTCTTAGCTTAGTCCAGACCATGATGAATCATCATAAGGCAGTTCTTGGAGGCATTATTAACACCTTTCAAATAAGTATTCTGGAAGACTGGTTGTCAACAGCAGAATCACAGTATCACAGACTGGTTGGGGTTGGAAGGGACCTTAAAGCCCACCCCCTGCCATGAGCAGGGACACCTTCCACTAGACCAGGTTGCTCCAAGCCTCATCCAGCCTGGCCTTGGACACTTCCAGGGATGGGGCATCCACAGCTTCTCTGGGCAACCTGTCCCAGTGCCTCCCCACCCTCGCCGGGAAGAACTTCTTCCTGATATCCAATCTAACCCTCCCCACTTTCAATTTAAACCCGTTACCCCTTGTCCTGTCACTACAGGCCCTTGTAAAAAGTCCCCCCCAGCTTCCTTGTAGCCCCCCCAGGCACTGGAAGGTGCTATAAGGTCTCCCCGGAGCCTTCTCTTCTCCAGGCTGAACACCCCCAACTCTCAGCCTGTCCCCATAGCAGAGGGGCTCCAGCCCTGGAGAATGGGAACGTTGGAGCTGTACGTTACACATGGCAAAACTTATGTATTAATGACCACTCCTCTATAGGAGAGATTTCATTAAAAAGTCATTCTGTTAGTGTTTACTTACAGTCTGGGGATGAAAATCCTTTCCAGAAAGCACCTTCTTTTAAGCACGGCAGCTATATTAGGATAAAGGGAGATACCTGCCTTCTACCTCTCACCCCACTGCACTCCTTCTCCCCTCACCCAGGCCTTACCCGCACAGAGCTGACCGCAGCGCGGCCGTCCGGGCAGCACCGCTGCCATCTACAGGGCTGAGAACCACCCAAGCCAACATCTGGCCTGGTGTCCGCCGGCCTGTCAGCCATGAGGGTGTTTGGGGGCTGTCCTTACCAATCGCAAACTCCACGAGGGTCTCGTTGTCTTCGGTGAGTGTATCAAGAAACAGATCCAGGACCTGGAGTTGCCGGAGGTACTCGTAGTTTTTGGGATCGTAGGCAAAGTTGGCCAGGTTCGCCAGCACCTGCTCCTTGGCCTCTGCAACGGAGAAGCGTAAGGTGAGTGAGGAAACAGGTTCAACACGGTGAGCATTAGCAAGCAGCAGTGTCCGGGGTTACCTGGGCTGTCTGTCACCTGGAACTCGGTAACGAGGGCCTGCAGGTAGTCCAGCCGCCCCAGCTCCATCCGTGCCGGCGGCGAGGCG